GACTGAAGTTTACTATGAAACAGATACTGATCGGAGATTATGTGAACTTGGTCCTACATTTGTTGAAAGCGGTAAAATGTTTTATGAAAAAATATTAAATAGGAATCAAGCACTCAGAGAATTAATGGGAAGGGAAGGAGAGAATAAGTATAGCAAGCTGGGAAATGAAAACTTTGGCATACGGCAACCTCGAATAGCTTTAGTACACAGAAAACAATATTTTGAACAAAAATTTAATGAGTTAAATGGTTCTAAAAGTACAGATGATGCTGAATTATTACAATAATATTGTAAATGCATTTGTTTGTTGCTTGTATTAATATAATAGTAGAAAAATAGGAGAAACATTAAAACCTATGAAGTTTATGACATCTTTTTTTTCTTAACCATTAATTCATTATGTGGGTAGATTGACAGTAAAAACTAATACAACATCCTAGCATTACTCTGTTTCCGGGCCTCGGGGATCGCGAGACGATCTCCGGCCACCATAAGCGCGGGCATACGGGCGTGACTCGCCGCCCGACGAGAACCAGACCCGAGCGTGTGGCGCGTCGCGTTCCGCGCGCGTCTCAAGGAGCCATCAGCAGACCACCACGAATGGGGCCCAATAGGACTGGTGCCGATTCCGAGGTGCGGAGAACCTATCGGGTTACCGGGGTCCCGGCTCGATGTGCAGGAGAAGGAACGGGGTGGTTTTTAGTCAGAGTAGGTAAGAGTCTGACCCCATATATTCTGCCTCACCCAGGTGGGAGAAGTTATTCGATGATTTTCCCCTCTTAAAAAAAAAGCTATAGTCTGTTAAAACAGAATAGGTACTGGAATTCCTGTCTGCTTAAGCAAAATTAGGTCAGTAGGTCGCAGGGTAGGCAAAAATGAAAATTCTTTTAAATTATTATGTTTTCGGCTTACTCACGTAGTCTCACTCACTCATAGATATGCCTATAATTATTCATTTCTATCGCTGAGTATACCTAATAATAAAGCGTCAAAAGTGTCAAATTAAATTCCTGCGAAGTTAAATTGAAATGCATTTTGCAGGAATTTAATTTAATAAAGATTTAATGCTGATGTCTTAACATCAGCATTAAATTTAGGCTATAATTTATAAAAATTGGCCATACCGGGCGGGTGAAAAATAGTATATTATATTAATAATGTTTCTTCCACACCCTTCTAAGAGCCGCTGACACGAGGTAAACTATTAATAAAGTTGCGAGTTTTAATACAATATCGCGCAAATTACTCGACCTACCTATGTAATCGTCAGACATTACGCTCATTGCTCTTTAGTCCAGTGTCGAGTGCAGACTCTTACTGACTAAAAATTACCCCGTTACTTCTCCTGCAGGTCGAGCGTTCTCCGCGACAAAGCCGCTGTAGCTGTAGTATTTCAATGTATACCTGAGGTAGTATAGTAAGTATGCATCCAAGATGAGGGAAATTCATCTAATTAAAACAAGTAAATTAAAGATAACTTTTCTGTTGGGCTGGGCACAAGGCACAACTAGTTCAGATTTACTAGGTGGAAACCAAGGCAGAAACATAAATGTGGTCATAGAAAAAGATCCCGTCATCTTAACGCTGTCTGTTAAAAAGATCCCGTCATCTTAACGCCCACCTGCAAATGCCCATACATGGTCCTACAAAAATGTAGTTTCTTTTCCTACAAATCTTTTCTATTTCCGTGGAATGGAATGCACGCATGCAGTTCTCTCATTTATCCGAAACTGTCAAGTGTCACTGTCAGTTAGTGACATTGAAATTATTGAATTGATTATTCTTTTGTGTGACAGAATGATACCTAATTTTACAGTCATTTCGTAAAGATAATTCTCTTTTTTAATAATTTCCTGTAGTTTTCTCCAGTATTTTCAATGAATGGATAGATACACTATCAGCGTACGGGTGTACATCTATTTTTAAGCTATTGAAGAACTGGAGTGGAGCTTAGTATTCATTACAATTAGTGGATAAGTTCAACATCTGTGTTACGTTTTTCAACTTATTACAAGTCATTTATCTATTAAAAGACGTGCGCAGTACCTATCTAATTTATTGAGTAATATATTGGTAAGGTGTTATAGTTTGTGAAAATAGATTTCTATGTTAAAGAACTTGTAGGTTTTGTGTAAGTGACTGGCGTCAAAATGTGTGGAGGATTCACCTGTTCGAAGAATGCATTGATCGCATTAAATATTCTCTATGTGGTAAGACACTGCCATAATTAATCGTGTTATAATATTATTTTATTAAACTTATTTTAATTTTACATACCTACCTATTGTGTATTAAAGTAAAAAGTTCATTTACTCATTGTTTTGCTCACCCCCTATTACATGGGACTCATAACACCCCTTCGAGTATAAAAGGTGTGATGTTCATTTACTCATGTGTCTAAATGTAACTAATTTATTAGGTGGTGGCTAGCATTCTGATATCAGTGGCGGTATATGGGCAGGCGTCGTCACTGGTCACCAACCTGCCAATAGTTGGTGGTATCCTGGCATGTGGGGTGTTCCTCATTTTGATATCTTTGCTGGGGTTGCTTGGAGCAGTTAAGCACCATCAAGTTATGTTATTCTTTGTATCCTTTTAAAAATTTAACATATTTTGTAAATCACTATTTTAGTTTAATATTTCATAATTTAAATATCACAATCATCGCTACTGTATTGCTACTGCTACTATCTGAAGTTTTTGTTCATCTCTTTGTGTGCGCATGAACTTTAGAAAGTAATTGTAGCATTGCCATATATCAAGGTTTTTGTATTGCTCTTTTGTTAACTCTTGTTGCAATGTTGCAATGAATATTCAGATTGTAATAATTACAAGATATAGTGTGTATCCAATGTCTAGTATTACTACTTTAGTTCGTTTTTAATAGAATAGTTTTCTCCTTTTTTATATTGGTAATTGGCAAATACTAATATTTGACTATTATTATTGTACCAATAATTTGCTTTAAGGTAATTGCAATGGCAATTGAATTTCCTTATAAAGATTATTACCTATATATACTATAGTATATATAAGATGGTATACCAAGAGCCTATTTCACTACTGCCAGTTACATTTTCAAACCTAACAGACACATTTAATATGGGACCATAATTATGTTACATATGAAATTACTGAATTTATGTACCAGTTAAATTAACTATTGGTATTGGTAACTTAATAAGAATAATATAAATGCTTAATAATAATAAAAATGCTTTACCCACTGACTTGTATGTAATTTAATGTATTGTTTAATGCCTTAACTCAGTGTTCAGTACATGGTGATTCTGTTCCTGCTGTTTTTAGTTCAGTTCTCAGTGGCGTGTGCCTGCCTGACTGTTAATTCAGACCATCAGGAAATGTTGGCTCGGCAAGTAAGTAAAAACCAGCTGTAAAGTCATAAGTGTAGGATCCATCATCTAGGAAATAACTACACATAACTACCTTATCTACAATCTAAGACTATGGACTTGTTATTTATTATAATTATAATATAAGAGTAGATATTTGTAAAAAATTATATAGTAGGAATATTAATAGGTTATATAAAATATGTATTGATGTACTACTATTCCACTTGGTAGTACTAGTCAACCTATTCTTTGTTTTAATATATCTTATCTTAAACATTCAGGGCAATGTAAATAATTTTATCATCACCTCTATAAATGTACAATGACTATGCAATCTGTTATTGGGACGTATTTAACTGTTGACCTCATAATAATTGTGTTTTTTAACATTTAAAGGGATGGAACAAGGTGGGTATGGACGTGAAAGAACAAGTTCAGGAGAGGTTTCAGTGCTGTGGCTTCCAAAACAGAGCACCCGAGAATGGCACCGCTGAACACCCCTCTTGTGACCTTGTGGATGTAAGTAATTGTTTATCTTGATTCCAAAGTCTTATAATAAAATTATTTTCTCAAACAGAAGCAAAATATTTGCTACATAATGTAAGCTGATCATCTTAGTGTACATGTAAAATGTTCACATAATTATATTTATCATTAATTGTAATTTCTTTTTTAATAATTAATATTTTCTAAAAATAACATTTCAATAATTACTAAAAATTGTCTATGGTTTCATGTTTTTTTTATCTATGGTCGGTGGCAACATTGTTGGCGCGAAAAGGATTTGTCATGATGGTCGAACCTTTGAGCGTAGAAAAGGATATTATATTTATTGTAAAAGGAATTGTAAAACCAATAAAGAAAGAGTGCAGTTGTGAGTTAACCTGTGTTTAGTTTTCAATTCAGAAGTGGGATCGGCACATTCACGTACCGAACTAAATTCACCGCTGCGAACTTGTAAGTTGTTGTGACATTGTAACCGCTATTATTGCGAAGTTTTACTGTGCATGATTGTAATGCTACCAAACAGCCTGTGCCGTGTTAACTGTGCCGGAGATTCGTGTTATAAAGCTAGATTACAAGAATATAATAATATCTAATATTGTGAGTTTGCGAAGGACTAAAATTTGTTCTTCATGCCGTGAGTATCGGCCGCTCGAGACGGAAGACTATTTTGCCGCCTTCATATTTAAATATATCATATTAAAAACAAACTTAATAACAGTGATGAAATCGTAATACCTAATTGTGTTTTGAGATGGCCATTGGTACCTATCTGTCTAAGTGTCTAGTAACATCTATATATTACTGATAACAAGAACTGTAACTGACTATTTTTGTGCAATGTTACTGAGATATATTTATGGAGAACTGAGTAATATTCTTTTTGAGGCTTTTAACATTTTGTGTTCTGTGGATTTTGAGATGAAGTGTTGAGTAAAGTAACTATTTTGTGACAAAACATAATTGAGCTATAACATACTTAAAATTAGTATGAAACTTGTGTAATTTACCTACATACCATTGTATAATTTTGTTAATTTCTTGTTTAGATTGCATACAGTGTAATATGCTTACACTATTTATTTCTTTAAATTTTTAGTTCACTAAGTAATTAACATTGTTCAGTATTAAGTAATAATTAATTTAATTTGTGGTATTGATTGAATCCACTAAGTTTTTGCTATTGTTTATGTTGAATTAATGAAAATTTTATGATTATTAGTTTTATGTTAAACTATGTGTGACTCCTTTATAAATTATTTAAAAAGAATTGTTTATCTGAGATATTTAGATGGTAGACACTTATAATTATATTCTTATTTTTATTGTTGATTGAAATTTGCTAACCATGGGATCTAACAGACAGAGTAGGTCTCGTAAAAGACATGCGTCTAAACATCAACATCGCCGTCAATATTCTAGTAGCGTTGCTAGTTCTTCTAATTTGTCAACGTCTAGTGATATAAAACAAAACAAGCGGCACAAGAATTTTAAATTGCAATCAAGAAAAGACAAAAATTATCATCGTCGTTCAAAGACTAAAACTGATTCCTCTCAAATAAATAGTACACATAGGTCCGCGACTAAAACTCCCCCGTTAATGCAACGAACTTGTATTAATAATCATGTGGGGACGAATTCAACGCTGGGAGTACAAATTCCAATGAATAATATGTTTTCAACCCACATTAACGTTATACCTGAGTTCGATCCCAGTGATGGATCCCAGAATGTTGAATCATGGATCCATAAAGTCAATGAATGTGCACAAATATATTCTTGGAATGATACCCAAATTCGTCACTATGCTTTAGCTAAGCTCACAGGTTTAGCCAAACGGTGGTATCAGGGTTTACCTTCATTATTGTTTACATGGGAACAGTGGACCGAAAAATTAAAAATTGCATTTCCGTCTACGGAAAACTATGGAGATATGCTGCAAAAAATGTTACAGTATCGTTGTCGAATAGGTCAGCCATTGGACGTATATTATTACGAAAAGATGATATTGATTAACAGATGCGAAATACTCGGACGAAAAGCTGTAGGGTGCTTAGTACATGGTATTGATGATAAGTTTGTTAGGATGAGTGCGAATGCATGCCGTTTTGAGGAACCCGAACAACTGTTTTCATATTTAAAAACGCTGGCCCAAAGTGATAATAATAATCTGTCAATTAGGCGAAAAATTAATAATAAAGAGGTTGGATCCCAACAAGAATTGCCAAATAGTAGCACAACTTCCTCACGACCAGGCATTGTTTGTTTTAATTGTGGCGAAACAGGTCACATTAGGACGAAATGTAACAAACCTATGAAGCGATGTCACATCTGTCGTAGGGTAGGTCATATAAGTAAAGATTGTCGTTTCAAGTCAAATGTGACAGATAGCAGTGGAGATACAAACCTATTACAAATCACAGCTCCATCTGGCGATAAAAACGTTATGCGTATACAATCAAGCGAAATAGATACTGATAAATTTCATAAAGAGATTAGCATTGATGGAACGCTGATACAGGGGTTTATTGATTTAGGTAGTAATTGCACGTTGTTGAAAGAGAGTCTTGCGAATAAAATTTTTGGAGATTATGACAAAGGTAAACATGTCCCAAATCTACGAGGATTCGGTAATTCTAGTGTGAAACCTGTGGGGACAGTTAGGGGGTTAATAACGGTCGATGACATATCTGCTCAAGTTGAATTTGTTGTGGTGTCAGATCATTATATGCCGTATGACGTCATTATTGGTCAAACATTTACCGAGTTACCAAATGTTGTTTTATATAAGACCTCAAATAATTTACGGTTTTATGAGGCGCCTAACTTGAATATTGCTGATAATTATCCTGTTAAGATTAAACTTAATTCGAGCCAAGATGCTACGATTGAGCCTAATACTACATCGCCAGTAGAAGTAGTTACATTTATTAAATTCTCTGGATCTCTATACGTCCCATCTGGTTTTCGCTATAATGATGACAAAAAGTTCTTGGTTTTACCTGGATTATATAATTATCTAGATGGTTCTGGCTATATAATGATAACAAATTTGGCTAATACCAAACTTTGTGTCAAAAAAGGTCAAACTATGGCCAGAGGATTGGATTACAATGAAACGTTTGATAATTATATCGGATATACCGCGACTACTAGTCAAAATCCTAAGCCTCTAAATGATATAAATGTAGGGACACACTTAACAAAGTTAGAGATGGAAAATTTAACACAACTTCTGAATAAGTACCGGGACTGTTTTGCGGTTGATTTATCTGAGCTTGGTAAAACAAATTTGACTGAAATGGTAATTAAATTAAAAGATGATATACCTGTAGTATACAACCCGTACCGCATGTCACTAAAAGAGAAAGAGCAGCTTTCAGAAATAATTGGGGATTTACTTAATAACGGTATAATTCGGGAGAGTTCATCTCCTTATGCAAGCCCCGTATTACTAGTTAATAAAAAAAATGGACAGAAACGTTTATGCGTAGATTACCGGGCGCTTAATAGAAAAACTTTAAAAGATAAATACCCCTTACCTCGCATAGAGGACAAATTGGACTGTCTGGGAGGAAATAGTTTATTTACTAGTTTAGACCTTGCGTCAGGCTATTATCAAATTCCTGTAGCTGAAGACAGCAAACATTTGACGGCGTTTGTCACTCCGGACGGTCTATATGAATACAATCGTATGCCTTTCGGATTAGCAAACGCGCCTAGTGTATTTCAAAGAGCAATAAATTCCATGCTGAATGGGGTAGGTCAAAATTTGGTTTTAGCGTACATGGACGATTTACTGGTTCCTTCTAGAACAGTTCAAGAGGGCATTGAGAAACTGGAAAAAGTTTTTAATTTATTGCGAAATTCTAAACTAACTCTTAATCCTAAAAAGTGTGTTTTCTTTCAAGAGAAAATAGAATACCTCGGTTATGAAATTTGTGGTGAGGGTATTAGACCTGGTAAATACAAAACTGATGCAGTAAAACTCTTTCCGGTACCTAAGAATGTTCACGAAGTACGCCAGTTTATAGGGCTGGCAAGTTATTTTCGAAAATTTGTTAAAGATTTTTCAATTATCGCTAGACCATTGACAAGGCTAACTAAAAAGAATGAGCCTTGGCATTTTGGGTTAGAACAGACGGAGGCATATAATACTATTAAAGAAAAGTTAGTGAGTCGGCCAGTTCTTGCATTGTATGATCCACGTGCCAAATTGGAAGTCCATACAGATGCGAGTAAATTCGGGGTAGGTGCTATTCTCCTTCAGGATAATGGTAAGGGTCTCCAGCCAATTTCGTATTTTAGTAGGCAGACTTCACCAGAAGAGCAAAAATTTCACTCATATGAACTGGAGACTCTTGCTGTGGTTACTGCTTTCAACAGGTTTCGCGTTTATTTATTGGGGGTGGAATTTAAGCTTGTAACCGATTGTAACGCCGTTAAAAGTACGATGACAAAAAAAGATTTAATACCGCGTGTAGCTAGATGGTGGATTGCTATGCAGGAATTCGATTTTACTATAGAGTATAGGAAGGGCTTGAAAATGGCGCACGTTGACGCTCTTAGCAGAAATCCAGTGGACAATAAAGATCCACCATCTCGTGACGACGATAATTACATCTTTCATATTGACGTTGATGATGAGAGATGGCTACAAACGGTACAACAGGCAGACACTGAATTACAGAGAATAGTTGAAATTTTAAAGGACCCGGAGAGTAATAATATAGTTGAAGTGAAAAATAACTTTACCGTTAAGAATGGAAAATTATACCGGGTAGTTAAAAAAGAAAGTAATGTCCGTCTGCTCTGGGTTGTTCCAAAATCAGTAAGATGGCAAATTGTGAAAAGCAATCATGATGATGTTGGACATTTTGGTTTTGATAAGACTTACGATAGAGTGCGGAAGGTTTACTGGTTTAAAAACATGTGTCGTTTCATAAAGAAATATTGTAAGTCGTGCCTACACTGTGCGCACAACAAGGTACCGGGTGGTCCTAAAGAAGGTATGCTTCACCCTATACCAAAACCGAATAAACCTTTCGAAGTCTTGCATGCTGATCATTGTGGCCCATTTCCACAAAGTAAAAAGGGCAACAATTATATTTTAGCGGTTATAGATGCATTCACGAAATACATATATATTAAACCAGTTAAAAATTGTAAAAGTAAAACGACTATAAATATATTTGAGGAGTACTTTTCTCTATTCGGAGTACCGCGGCAATTAATTACCGATAGGGGCACAAGTTTTACTAGCCGAGAATTTTCTGTGTTTACAAAGGAAAAAGGAATTAAGCATACGCTTAATGCCGTTGCAACACCTCGCGCCAATGGGCAAATTGAGCGCTATAACCGTTCTATTGTAGATGCACTCACTGCAATTAATAATGGTCGGCCCGATAACGAATGGGATACAATGATTCCAAAGGTTCAATGGGGTTTGAATAACACTTTGAACAAAGCTACGGGTAAAACACCCGCTGAAGTTTTATTCGGAGTAGCACCTACAGGAGTTTCGGATGGTGCAATGAACTCAGTTGTGTCCGAAATTCACGAGTGCGAAAATCGTGAAGATTTACGATTAAAAGTAAGCGAACGTTTAGTCACTGAACAAAGGAAACAAAAAGTTAACTTTGATAAGAAACGTAAATTAGCACATAGGTATAATGTTGGGGATCTAGTGCGAGTAGAAAGGGAAGTAAGTAGTGTCATTCCAGGGCAATCAAAGAAATTAATTCCGAAATGTTATGGGCCATATAGGGTGACTAGGGTGCTGGAAAATGACAGGTATGAAATCGAAGACACTCCAATAACAAAGAAAAATGGAAAACCATCATACAAAGCAATTTTTGCAGTTGATAAGATACATCCATGGCTAGTGTTTTCCAACGATCCCATGAATAGCGATTCAGATTGTGACAGTCTTAACGATAAATGAAACAAAATATCAATAGTTAAACTTAAATTTAAGTGATTTAAAAAGGAGAAAGTAATTTACGAATAAGTTATGTAAAAATATAAAAGTTATATGTACTTGGCATCTTAGCGTGTGTGTAAATGGTCAGCCCTGCGTGGCGATAATAGCATTTTATGGTGATACTAGCCCTGTGTGGCGATACTAGCCCAGTGTGGCGATACCAGCCCTGTGCGGCGATGCCAGGCCTGTGTGGCGATACCAGCCCTATGTGGCGACACCAGCCCTTTGTGGCGATACCAGCCCTTTGTGGCGATACCAGCCCTTTGTGGCGATACCAGCCCTTTGTGGCGATACCAGCCCTTTGTGGCGATACCAGCCCTTAGTGGCGATACCAGCCCTTAGTGGCGATACCAGCCCTTAGTGGCGATAGTAGCCGTTAGTGGTAATACCAGCCCATTGTGGCGATACCAGCTCTTATGGCGATAACTATCAGTGCATGGTGGTGATAAAAGCTTTCAGTGAGAAATTTGTAAATTAATAGAATGTTATTGTTATTTTACTACTGTTTTGAATTGTTTCAAAGAATAAGTTGTCTTATGTTATTATTGATGTGGGTTACGTTATGTGTTTAACTATGAAGCTTTGTATGTGCAAATTGATTTATGTATGTAGGTCCGTAGTACTTATACTTTTGTTTTATAACTAAAACTGGATTATTTTTTCTTTTCTTTTTCTTTCTTTTGTCATACAAAATTAACGTTGTACTGAAACGTCGTGATACAATGTCCATACGTGATAATTTTGAAAAAATAGTAATATTAGTAGGTGACAGTCATCAGTAGTTATGTTATAAAACCTTTTGAAGATACAAGCGTGTATGTACTGCCTAAAATTAAGTTAAAGTTACATTCTCCATCTTTTGTTAATTGAAACAATGTTTTGGTTTTTCTTTTTTTTTTTTTTTTTGTTTTGTTTCTTTAATATTTACTTGTGGGTAGTTTTCTTGCTTTTACCATAAATCTTACACGCGGGGACGCGTGCTGGGTCAGAGTGGCCGATTGTAAGCTGATCATCTTAGTGTACATGTAAAATGTTCACATAATTATATTTATCATTAATTGTAATTTCTTTTTTAATAATTAATATTTTCTAAAAATAACATTTCAATAATTACTAAAAATTGTCTATGGTTTCATGTTTTTTTTATCTATGGTCGGTGGCAACATTGTTGGCGCGAAAAGGATTTGTCATGATGGTCGAACCTTTGAGCGTAGAAAAGGATATTATATTTATTGTAAAAGGAATTGTAAAACCAATAAAGAAAGAGTGCAGTTGTGAGTTAACCTGTGTTTAGTTTTCAATAAATGTGTACAAATATCTATTTCAAACTATAAAACAATGTTTAAACAAGTGTTACTGACACACTTACATTGACAATTGAGACTGTTTCATTGCTCAAGTGAAAAACACCTTTTTAAGAGATTTCTGTGTATAATTTATCATTGAATAAGTTGTATTTGACAAATGCAGCCAATATTTTATTTTGTTGGCAGTCATGTTAGGTTAGATCTTTAAAATTGGGTACATAAATATTACAAGTTGTAATTTACTACACAACATGTACTTTGCCTATCCTTCCGGATATTACTACATATTACTTTATTACATAGTATAAAACAAAGTCACTATCCGCCGTCTGTCTGTGCCTATGTATGCTTAGTTCTTTAAAACTACGCAATAGATTTAATGCGGTTTTTTAAATAGACACAGTGATTCTTAAGGAATGTTTATATGTATACTTAATACATACATATTGCACCGGCGCGAAGCTGGGGCGGGTCGCTAGATATATATAAGGTGTGATGTTCTGCTGTACATGTACATAGATACCCTTTCAAAATCTTTTAAATTCATAGCTAACAATATTCTAAAGTATTATTATTGAACAGCAGGTGCTGTGTATGTTAATATTTAACAAAACGATTTGATACCATTTATTTTTCTTTTTTAAATATTTTCAGAAAATTTGCTGTGCAAATATGCTTAATGCTCCAAATTGTCAATGTGACCCATGTATGGGGAGATTGAAGCAGACCATTGACTATGCATTCAAGCTGTGCGGTGGCATAGGACTATTTTTCAGTTTCACCGAGGTAAGTTCGCATAATTTACGTCACTTATTATATTTATCACTATCCATATCCAATGAGAGTAAGTATGTTTATATGTAGATATACAATTTGATACCAGACTGCCATTGCATTAATTTCAATGCTGTGTATCAAATTGATGATTTAGTAATGAATTATGGCTATTAATATACACACATATTTTATACTAACGTTTTAATAATGTACATGAAATTTCAATTATTGAAATACACTTTAAATTGTTATATAATTATGTTACAACAACAGGGAATAACATGCTTTGGTTACTGATCTTTTTATACATATACTAATAACAAAAAACATTGTTAAATAAAATCCTTTACAAATGTTGTGATGTGACATTACGTCAGAATTTAAAAGTATTGCATAGTTTTGAATAAGTATTTTAACAGATTTCAATAAATTACGGTTTACAAGAGCATTTGTAATAGTTTCACTACACATAAAAATAAAACAAAGTAAGCAAATTGCGTCTTTTCGAGATGTGTCTTAAGACAAGGAGCGACGTATCTCAATCCCTGTCAGATAACAATTTACAACTGTTTGTTTACTGGCGAACACTGTAAGAATATATTCTAGATATTTCTCTGATATGATGTAATTGGACAAGAAATATTTATAAAACCTACACATTCCATTTTCCACACAGATAAATCTTTTGTAAAATATTCATTTGCATGTTCATTTGCAAAGGATAAAATAATTGTTACGGGCATGAGAATAAAAATAATTCTCAAACTCAAAATTTATTCTTTTAATAATTTCCTATTATGTATACTTTGAGATTAATGCATTTCAAATGAATTTTTCATTACAATTAATTCTATTTCACTATTGTTATCAGGGGAAATATCATTTAGAATGTATACAGCTATACAGCTATACAGCATAACATATAATATTGTAACGGTTATTGTTATACATATTGGATAATAGGGATCATCATCAATACCATAGGGTATGAAAATTTAAACGTTTCTTCAAGATAATTAAATAATATTGGCACGTATTTTTTAGTTTATCGCAATAAAAAAATACTCGCTACGTCATTTCTAGGTAGGGAATGTACTTAGAAGTAACATCATGCGATATTTCAAAATAACATATTGTCGAAAGTTTTCTATTACGTAAAAAATACGTCTCTAATTCAAATGTTTCAAATTAATCTACAAGACAAGACAAGACAGCGAAAAATAAAACGTAGTCATATCTCGATTGCAATTTGTTGCAAGTTTGCAAGGAAGCTGTATACATTCTGTGTTGTCAATATTTCGCTTGCACATGTGACTAACAATCGGACGATTAATTTGCAGTTTCTGGGTGTATGGTTGACAGTAAGATACCGTAACCAAAAGGATCCGCGTGCTAACCCCAGTGCATTTCTGTGAATGATCTGACGATGTGGAATTTAATCAGTTGAGGTGGATTGGTGTTTTGCTTCGGATTGCATGACTTATTTAAATTATGTGCGCATGTCGCTTTTTAATTTTATTTTATGCTACAAGTAATGATTAGTAATCTTGCTGAATAGGTATAAATTAAATTATAGGATCACGATTAATTGAATATTAGTATTGCTCTGAATAGTAGAGTGTAGCGGCACTACTTTAGTTTTTCATTAAAAATATATTATATTTTTACTTTTTGTAAACAGTGAGAACAGAAGTGTCTGTGAATCTGAATGTATGTAACTTTTATTATTTTATGCTGTGTCCAGAACAGACTAGGTATCTACCTATTTATTTTAAAGTATGGTATAATACTAAGTATCTACTCGTACATTTTAATTTTCAATAATTTTTGTTTAAATATTTTGTAAGACTTTGATAAAAATCGAAACAGTCTAGTCAATCCACCTCCTTTCTAAAATTGCATGATACCTATTCATATGTTATGTTTACCTACATCGTGATAACAATTCTTTATAATAATAGTAATTTTTATAATAATGTGCGAAACCTGACATAAAATATTGCATATCTGTATTACAGAATCTGCCTTAATTTTTGGGCCTTCCCATTAATGCTTTTTATATTACTATTGGGTTGGATAGATATTATTATCTTATAAACAAAACTTACGTATATCAATTTCAATTTCGTCAATCAATTTCGAGTACCAAATGTACATAAATCCTATTCGGAACAAAGGCCTGCTGCGTTACTATCTATGTATTTTTCTGAGTTGGTAAACCTAATGTGTTTTTAATTTTAATGTTCTGGTTTTCAAAAGCAACTTGTGTAGAGTATAGTGATATTTTATTTATTTGCGCTTGTGCAAGTTACACACACATTGTTAGCATGTTTGCACGTGCATGCGTGTCTCTATCACTCTATCACTTGATGTTTTGTATTATTTACTTAAAGTGTATGAGCGGAATATTCTAACTTTTAACTATTACGTTTCAGCTATTCGCTGTATGGCTCGCCCGACGATACCGCAACCAGCCTGACCCTAATTATAAGGAACCTCACGCTATTTTCCCTAGAAAGAATTACTTGTATTGAAGTGCTAAGTGTTACTTTTAGAACTGTAATATTCCTGCAGACTGATTTAGTGAATTTGTATTTTTTTTGTAGTAGCACTTCTTCCATATAATCTGCCTTATAATTCATATAGCAAACCGACGAGAGACGACAAAGTTTGAGATTATTTATTCAATAGGTATTACATTTCTCATGATAAAGTAAGAAAAATAGTTTTCTTATGAATATAAAATTAACTCCTTTAGTGCCAATGACAGTTTGGCGTGTTTTAATATTTAAAGTGGTACTATCGTATCTACGTTGTATCTAAACGGTACGTATGTTGTCGGACTGTAAAAAGACATCGTATATTTTTGGCCAAGTGACAACAAATGGAAATCGTTTCATCTTGCGTTTTTATGTTTGTATAGACTAGGCTGTTTTTTTCAATCTGCTCAATGTTTCAATAGAACAATTTTAATTTTAATTTGATAGTTATTTTATCATTAGAAATATCAGTAAGCTCACCCCTTATTACATGAGACTCGTCATAATATACCTGACTTGTAAAAAGTGGGTGTACATTATATATGTGGCATAATGTGCCATAACGTGCACCCCCCCAACATAAATGGCGTGACGGTATTTTATATCATGTCATAATATACATATAAATATACGCATATATAATATATACATACTATGTTTTAATTAAACTATGTACTCCATGCATGTCTATAATATCATAATTAAGTAATGAAAGTGTATGTTTTAGCTTGTCGGAACCTTTTTCTTTCTAGTAATTTTGTTGTTAGGGTTTAGTCTACCTTACCCTACATACCTACTAGTTATTAAGTCCATTTTCTGAAAAGTTTAGGAAATCATTATTTTTTATTTCGGTAAATAATTACTTACATAATATGTATACATTAAGAATATATTCGCTATATAACAGTTGAGTGGTTTCATATCATTTGAATGTATGTTTGTAAAAAAATGTTGTTAGTGATAATAATAATTTAGATGGACTTACATTTTGAATGCATGTTCAAGTATGTTCAAGTATATCGAGATGAAAACAGTTCTAAAAAATATAACGCTATAATACAGAGGCTCGAAAACACCAATGAGGTCGGTTATGATCTCATTATTTTGCATTTGTTTCCTTCAATAAAACAATGTCATTGCTGGTATATAACTAGGATTAAAAAGTTAAGTTATAGGTACATTTCATCTACTAGTCAGTAGTCTAATAATTTAGCATAATTTTGCTTTCAATTTGAATATTTGAATCAACACGCGTAAGAGCTAAAATTAGGCTTTTACGGACTGAATTTCTTATAGTAGATAAGTGCTACCCTTAGTTTGGAAGATAGGCCTATGTTGGTTGCTCTAGATTTTTTTTCTTACCTGCATTTTTAATTCAATTAAGCTTTAATTAGATACTTTATCATTTATGTAATTTGACATCCCCAAGTTCATATCCAAGCCCTATATTTTTAGAAACCATTTATTTTAGAATCAAATTATATTGATAAATTAAGAGTTAGTTTTGTCTTAAATAGTCATGAAATATATGATAATAATTGATGTGTTTATTTTAATCTTGATTAAGTCTCGAATTGTGTCAACCAGTCACAAATCATGCTTTGAATTAGATTTTATTTACACCTAAACATAGTACAGTCTGTAAGTATATAATTTAACCAAAATGAATTGTCTTGTGTAATAATATCAGTGTATTTCTCAAATTATTCTGGAATAAAGTGTGCAAGCATTATAAGGTGTTTAATTTAACTATGAAGGTACCTAACCTATCTGCCTACCTACAAGTCCAAACAAGTAGATACTAAGAAGCTGCCGACACTTACCTACATTAAGTTCGACATAAAATTTACTAATAGTCGCCTCACTTGACTACTGACATGTTGCAAGTTCCATTTTAGCCAGTAGTATAAGCAAATAAGGGTCGGTTGATAGTTTATTTACTTATAACAATTGACTGCCTCGTTGGCCGAGTGGTCGCAAATGCGACTGCCGGGCAAGAGGTCCCGGGTTTGATTTTCGGGTCGAGCAAAGATTAAAAGGGTTTTAAAAAATTCTCAGTAGTAGTACGGAATCTGGAATTGTGCCTGGTATATGGCAATAGGCTCACCCCCTATTACATGGGACTCGTAACATAAATAGTGAAAAGTGGGTGTTACCTACATTGTAGTGGCATAACGTGCACATCTGCCTACGGACTCGGGAAAAAAGGCGTGATGTTATGTTATTGAGAATTTCAAAAATTATATATATACTTAAATCTCAATAAAATATATTTTGCTCGCTCAATTACGGAAATACCCTGAGACACTTGCGCTGGTTAGCAAGAAAAACTAGGTACTCAAAATTACCTGTGACTTTATTCATAACTAACTAAACGACAGTTTTAATTTGTACTTAGTAAAAAATCGACTACTTATACCCCGTCGTAAGTAAGCTTTCCTCTTATTTCCGGTGCTTACATAATTTAGAATTTTCATATGCAGTTCGATTCCCAGTTCCCTGTACAACAAGGTAATTATTTAAACTTATAATTGTGATTGCAGTTCGATTTGTTATATGTATAAAATTAAAACCTTCAGTAAAACTGGCAATCTAATTATGACATGGGACATCTTGAATATTTAACATAAAATTATGACATCATATTAAAATTCATAGATGTTATTAGACGAATAGTCATAATCGAATGCAACTGTATAAATGTCGAAACCTATTAGCTTTATACCACTCGGGATTTAAACGCAGACATTTATAAAGGACTTCTCTTAGTGATAACAGAAACATATTTTAGGATATCTACCTATAGGTAGCTAAAATGTTGTAGGTTGTAGGTATACTTACTTACTTAGGTTAAGTATGGTAGGCAAATAAAGCGGAAGGAGTGAGTATTTTCATTTGTAATATATTTTTTGTAACTTTAATAATAATACAGTTACAGTACATATGAGATGGGGTTGTCCACAGTACACCTACCTATTATGTTAGAGATGTAAGTCCATTACCTACCTATTTTACGGAAATTAAATTCAAACGGATAACAAAAGAATGGTAAACAAATTGAAATACGCAAAGCCATTTTTCAGCGCTCTCTGGATGAGAGAAGGGTTGGTCGGATAGGCTTTGCGCATAGCGGTCGCGCAGGCCCTTCGGCAGGCCGCCCGCGCCCTGGCGACACTGGGCGGAAAACCTTTGGTAGCTGATAGCAGACAGTCGCGCACCGCTCGCTACCACCGCCACACTCATCGATCGGTCCCAACAGTGATAGTGTGGCGCCTAACGCGTTCATTGAAACTGTGCTGTGCCTGTGAAATTATATTAATACAACAACATGTCCTTCGACAAAGATGAACTGCGTGATGAGTAAGTATCGCAAACATGTATCTATTAAACGCAACTTTACGTCTCTTCGATTCAAATGACTGTCACTCGCCACAGTTTAAACTAGGTGAATCGATGACTGAGTATAATCACATCATTAAACATATTTTTTATTTGATTTGTGGTTTGACACAATCATACTTCATTTCTTTCTTATTAAGATTTTTTTCGTAAAGGAGATAGATCCTTACTTAGGTACTGAAAGTAAATTTGCTTTTTCATGGAGAAAAGAAAACAGGAAGGAAAAGTTAAGGTTCGTTACCTAACTTATACCTAATTGAGATAGACAATTGATTATTGTTATTTCAAGATTAATAATTATTAAGATGTCAATTATATATTTTCAACCTGTACGTGGGAATTAAAGAAAATGTTAATCTCCTATTTATTTCTATGAACAGATTGTTGCTTCGCTTCAGTACCTAGCTACCTACCTTACAAAGCAGACGGGATTTTTTATACATTTTTGAAGCAGTTGCAGTGACAACATAGTTGTATATCATTTAAGTATCTAGGTACCTATTATAAAAATATGAACTGTTGTAGGTCACCAGCATTCAACCTTATTTTTATAACTTTCACAACTCACAACGTGCATCGAGCTGTGCAATTTAATTCATCATTGTTTTAATTGATGTGTTGTTCATACTGGGTTTGTTTATTGTGACTTTAAATAAAACAATTCTCTAATGAGTATCAGGTAGTCAGAGCCGTAAGGTTCTGTTCTTCATAATACCTACCTGGGAAATTTTTAAGAATAAATATTTTAACATTAAATAAAGGACAACATCTCCTGAATTTAATAATTCGAATGATTAACACTAAATTACACCGTTCTTTTTCTCAAGCAATCCGATAAAATTATCGATGATCGCATAAGTTACCTAATAAATTGCTAATGTGAGAAGGTAAATACCGCTCTGTTAAATAAACACACATGCTCAAAGATTTTTTGAAGAAACGGTCACCTATCGGGCCCTGTTTCGTACGTAAGAATGTTTATACTACCAATACCACAGTAGATATTAAAAAAAAATAGTACCTCGATTAATAACATAATCAGCAGTTTTGATAAAACCAGCTGTTAGTAACAACTAAACTGCCATAACATCATAATCTCTGCGACGGCGAGGACGTTCCACTTGTGCTTGCCTATAGCAGCAATAAAAATTCAAATCGTTTTCATAGTAGTATCGCTGATAAATACCTGTGGACTGAAGTTGTGGTTTTAAAAATATTAGATGTCGCAAAACGAGACGAGTTCAACGTAAGTAACCGAGTTTCTAAACAACAATATTGTCTTATCCTAGGTGCTACAGACTACACCGATGGTTTCGTGCAGTGCATCCTTATCGGGGTACTTATCGGGGTTGGTTCTTGGGGTTGACGATGACGGCATATTAATTTATAATTAGGTACTCACATAAATGTATATCTCCGCATATAGATATCTATATATATATCTGGTGTATGCTGGACAAGCTAGTTTGATAATAATTTCTGTTTTATGTTAAACTAAAGTTGTTTAGTGCGCTCCGATATTTTTTTAATCGCATGTTAAAGACACGGAGAATCTCTTTGTACGTTACATACTAAGTTCTGATTAGGTACTTTCTTATCTTGATAATCACTAATCCTTCATTCAGTAAGCCGAGTTAGATAGTAGGTGGACCTACCCACGTACCTAGGTATGGTAGGCACGTTACCCAGAAGATTATTTTATCCTTACCTTAAGCATCAGTGAAAGCGTCCTTTCGATATGTGATTTTTATGGCTGGTACTGGACTACATACCAAATTGTTCCGATATAAAGTGGAAGCTTGATGATGAATGATATAAGAAAATCTGCCAAAGAGCAGTGATTTATAGGTATGTAATCTTCCATCCAACCTAGATTGAGTAAATTGTTTGGAAGTGACCTACTTCGGGACGGCTCTCAAGTCTCAATATGAATTTCCTAGTTCAGGTACCTAAATGTGAATTATGAGAAGTAAGTACGTACCTACCTACTTAGGTTTTCTTTAGAACACTTCTTTATATCGTTACCAGCTATACGACATTTTGTGTTTTCTTATTTTTAAAAGTAGGTACCTATATCTATATTTCATTGTTGCTTTCCCACCCTCGGGCCTCGACTCTAGAAACGTCTTGTTGACCTCGTTTAACTGCTGTTAATAATAGCGTTTTTAATATCGAATATTCCCATACATCTTTAATTAGTTTCGATCCTTAAAGTTAAGCGTAGTTTGTGAACCTTGAAAGTTGGTAAAGTCTAAAGAAGTAGGTTTAATAACATTACGCTCGGGCTTATCTTTTCAGCCATGTATTTCACATCAGCCGTTTTGTAAGTGTGGGCTAGGTAGATACTAAGATTATTTTCTTAGGACAAATAAAATATTATCCTTACTATATAATATTATAAATCCGATTATAATAACCGATTGCTTTGAATTTTTGCAGACGTAAAGTTCGAAGTCCAGATTAAATAATAGGGTACTTTTTATTCCGGAAAAAATGATATTCCCGAGGGAAAATAAAAGTATTGGTATAGATGGCGCTGTGTGTATTGGTATATATCACATTTTATCCTTTTGTGACGCGAGCGAAGCTGCGTGTAAAAGCTAATATTTTATACATTACACCAAGACCAGGAACAAAACTAAAGGGTCACAGAAAAATTGTCCGTGGGAGAACCGAATATTGGAATTGGAATACTAACGTATCGCGATTCAGTTCACCAATTTCAGTTTTCACAATTTCAGACAATTTCAGTCAGTTTGGCAGTCCGACGGCCACAGCGCCAACTGTGAATACATAGGTAAATTTTGATACTGGGCCAATTCATTTCTTAGTGTACTATAATGTGTCATATTTCCTGTTAGAACGATGAAAACATTTGAATAATATTTAAAACTTAACTTGGGGATTACCGACCTTCCTTTATTAGCTGTTTGCCTTCTATAAGACAGCCAAAACATGCGTCACGTCACGTAACGTTTACAAATCGACATTATTGCGTCAGTGTAGTATTTAGTGAGATGACCTAAGCAAAATAATTTGCAAAATAGTAAAAAATAAACCGATTATAAAAAACATGACCCCTAAGGCCTAAAGTCAAGGCCCCTTTAAAACTTTTAGAATTGCTTCGACGTGCTTGACTTTAATATCGTTGTTAATAATATCTAATTGCATCCTGTATTAAATAGCATCCAGTAGTTAAACTTTTATAGGCATCCTTTCATGTCATGTAGGTAGAGCGTTATATGTACATTATCTATACAGATAAATAAAATTGGAGTGTCTGTTTGTAATATTAAAATAACCGCTTTTTACTAAATGCATATGAAAATACATACGTCTGTTTGTACTGGCTAGTCTCTGGAATGGCTGGACCGATTTTGCAAGACTTTTATTGGCAGATAGTTAATGTACTAAGGAGTAAGATAGGCTACTTTTTATTTTGGGAAATTGTAGCAAAAAACATGAAGTACATATGTTCCAAAATTCATATTCTACCAAGTCGCGGGCAACAGCTAGTGTGTAATAAGAACAAACTCTATATCTATACACATTTTATATGCAGTTAATGTCGTTAGGATTGAAAGTTTAGATGACCGTAACGATGGCTTCTCTTACAGCGATCGTATTTCTCAGATCCAATTAAGTTTTTTCGATAGCACATTTATGGATGCTAAGCACAAAACATTCCAGTCATCACTTTTAATTTACTCAATAGCATAACGCCATAAAGATAATATATATACAGCAATTTAAATGCGTTCAGCGCAATTCCTTTACTAAGCGCACGATTAAAGTTTCTGCGTTAGTGACATAAATTGTGATTCATTATACAACGAGAGTTTACTTCGGTACTATATAATATAATATAGCGTTATTATTGCTACGAGTGGCAATGGACAGCTGCGCATGGTGAAGCGAATGTTTAACACGCACCGAACAGTATCGCAATGTCATGGAATAAAAGTTTTCGTGGATTCCCAGGCAGCTGTACGCGAACCGTCCAGACAGACTGCTATTCGCCTTTGGAAAGTCGATCAAACAATACGTTATAACCGTGCGGTGCAACTCGTGGTGCGACCTGGTGCGCTTTTCGTAATTTATTATTCTTAAAAAAAAAACAACCAGTGAGTGTGTTGTGAATTTAGATTTAAATCGTTTTTTTTTAATTATTAAAGGTAAGTGTATTTTATATTGCATTATTAAGCATTAAGTTCATAATTTTATTCTTTTTTTTAATCTTGATTACCTAAATATTTTTTGTACATACAAGATGTATATATAAGACTTGATTAGTTAATTCATTTCTAATTTTAGTGATAATAATTTGTACCTGCGTATCTAAAATGCAGATCTATACCACTTTAGGGTTTAATTCGTTTTCATCATTATAGTACAGACACTCTTTCAACATCGATTAATGGTTAACCTTGACTAAATTGTTTGCAAACAGATTGTATCAACGTAATATATTATCGTAACGTTGAAAAAATAACATCATGCGATAACCTTTGTTATGGACCGCTTCACTAAATAAATAGGTGATGTAATTTACGTATTAGGATTAGTGGGACTTAACGCTAATTTACTTTTATCCTGTTAGAAATGCGATACCTACGTAACATAGACAACAAGAACTAACTTTTGTTTGTATATTCTTTAGCCTTCAAGTTCAACAAATTGCAAGATGCCGTGCAATTGTAAAGTGGAGGAATCGAGTGCATCCTCCCAACATCAAAACGGATGCGAGATGAATGCTCGTCGGAGTTCTGCTGGACAAAACGGCCACCATCAGCCACATCGGAAGTCGTTTCAAGATAATGGTCATGGGGAAGTGTGGGAGAACTACGCTGATGAACCTGTAGATCGTGATACTGTTAGGTTGTCATCATTGAACACATATTTATACCTATGTTAATGCAATAATTGCATGTGATGAAATTGTGTGTTTCCCGCTTTGTTGACTGTAATCAATAAAATATTAAATTTTGTAATTTCCGCTTACTCTCTATGTAGGAAATAATGTTTTTCCTTCCTCGTAGCACTTAAAAACACACGACACAATGCTTCTTAAGAGAAGGTAGGTAAAGCTTGGAACAAAGGCACTTGAATGAATAGTCCCTACGAAATCTTATAAAATGAAAGGGTCCGAAATATATTGTGGACGTTGTTAAGTATAGGTTACCCTTGACGTCTTCGTTCTAATGTACGTATTTATGAACTTGTAATATAATGCTTATGTCTGACCCTTTTTTAACAGGTATCCTGATGGCACGGTGCGTCTCCGGAACCCTAACATCGAGCTAATGGACCAAGATATATTATACCACTTGGCCCTCGGCAGTGGTTCTCACGATCTTGTTGAAATGTTCGGGGATGTAAAGGTACCTAGACATTATTTCTTAAGAATATTTACTCTTAAAGTTCCCAGAACTTTTTTGTTTAGGCTGTCTGTCCTGGGTATTAATTCTTAGAATTTATTACTTATGGTAGTTAATGAGTTTCTCTTAAGGTTTACATTTAGATATATTGGCAGTTATGATTTAATTATCAAGAAGTGTCTTCAATGCAATGTTTGTGTCATTAATTCATCATGAAATAATACCTGGTTTTCCCCGTAACTGGTCTACTAAATATTTATTATACTATAGGTTGTGTGTATAAGTGGAATGAAGTGAAACCGCATGACATATTAAAATACTAACAGGTTCTTTATATTGTTACAAAATAAGTAAAAAAATTGCATATCTATTTCAGACTAAGACATGATTTCATGTGCATTTTCCTTTCGTGACGGATAAGTTTATAAGAGCTTTTATTCTTGCTTGTTTGGAAGGCACATAATATAATCAGTTATGCAATTTTTGTGCAGTTTGTGTGCATGGGTGGCACCCCGAAGCGGATGGAGCAATTTGCGTACACAATCATGGCGGAGATTGGTCACAAGCTGCCTTGTGGGACCACACTGCAGGATATAAGCCAGTTCTCGTACAGGTACTCCATGTACAAAGTGGGGCCTGTGCTTTGTATCAGTGTAAGTATAATTATATTTTAGATTTTACTATTAACAGATAACTATTATAAATATAAATACTTATTAATTATACATACATCGGTAGGTTTTTTAATAATTTAGAGCAGAAGGAAAAAGTAACTTCATACATATTTATTTAAAATTGAATTGCACTTGTTTGCACTAATTTGACTAATTTGTATTTCAAGACAGCATTGTATAGCGTATTTTCTTGTAAAAAGATTTTCTTTTTTTTATTTTAAAAAAGCGTATTTTAATCGTAGATGTAATCAATAATAAGTATGATATTACATAACTTAATGTTTATGTTGTTATATTAATTGACGATGTTATCAGCATTATTTCGTTTTTAACGTATAAACCTTTAACACTTTATAATATAGTTATCGTTTGTAAACAAAAGCACATGATTTTTAATATGATATTATCTATATTTTTTCGACGGAGTAGAGTTAATTCAAGATTTATTAACAGCGAGTCTGTTAATCGATTAGGTACTAGTTGTATTTATGTGCCTTTTCAGTTGGAAGTAAACTTCTACAGGCTGTAGTATAATTACTTTAGATCACAATATGTTTCTTGTTGTGTATACCCAACTAGATGCCGTGATATTAGTTTCAAATTCAATAGAAACTGTTCACAAAGGCCTAACCAAGGCCTAATTCAGTAAACCTAATTGAATACCTGCCTTACTATACTGACCTACCTAATATAGATCGTATTACGTGTTTCCGCTTGGTATCAAAGTCTTGTTTGTATCTACGCGTACAGAAATCGATCTAGGTAATAAGACTACTTAGTAGTGTCATATCAAATCAAGATGGGTATTTAATTTATATTAACAACAAATATTCTTTATATTATAACTGATGATTGACAAGTCACGTGCTAGAGACTAGAGAGTACTACGATATCATACAGGTCAATAAATAGATAATATTTAATATGAGAACGTTATGTAAAGTTTCTACTATAGTATGTATATCAGATATGGATTACAACTGTACATTTCTTCATGATTTTACCTGCTCTCAGACAAAGCAGAATGTCTACTGTAACTTATAAATCTATGTATTACAAACAAGGTACTGTGTCTGACAAAATGATGGTCAGTAATGCTAGGAAAGGGAAAAATCCGATTATCTTTATAGCACTAGGTTTTGATTAAATAGTCCTTTGGTCGCTATGTGCCGTCTTTTCTTAACTTTGTGGAGGTACCTATATGTTACCGACACGTGTCTGGTCGTACTCACCGACGGTTCACGTGTGCTCCACCGCCTCGTGACTGGCTAGTGGTCATGATACACAACGGCTGATAACACAAGAGCAGAGGACACATACATATGTTGTGTACGATGATATAAGCTGTTGCCCAAACTCCTATGACGTAGATAGATGAGTGTCCTAAAGCAAAGCTTATTTCATCATTGGCAGAGTAAGGGACTCATATGACCAAGACGGCCATGTGGTGACGTTTGAGTAGAATTCTTCTTTTAAAACTCTGGCCATTGTTGACAGAAAATACAAAAAGTTAATGTCTTAAGCTGCGTAGAGATACATTCTCTATATTCGGCAATGATTTATTGTTGCGAAAGTAACCTCCAGTTGTAGTAAGTTGTTGCCGAGGAATGTTAACCACAATACAATCTGACATTTCTTACTCGACAACCTTGAATTTGCATTGTCTCAATTGAGTCTACTTGACGGAATTATCATTAATTTTAATCATCAAGTAACTACAAGTATGTTTATTTGTGTATGTATACATGTGGTAAATACACTTGTATTCAAAAAGTGAAATTATATCTTACTTAACCCATAAATCCCCAAGCGGTCACCGGTGACCGCTTTCCACTAATATTACATTACATTATAGACCTTATTTCTAATGTTTAGAGAATACTTTTGTATGACCAAATTTAGGGGATGGATATCAACGGGTAAATTCTAGATTTGAATTAATACTCTACTGCGCTGTAGGTGCGACTTACTAAAATTACTCGACATGATTAAATTAATTAAAAAAATAATATAATTGTATTAATGAACTTGGATACTTACAAAACATAAAAAATATGTTTTCGCAATAGAAGGTCATTATCTTGAACTCATGATAATGTAGCTAAGGAAAATTAAATGATAATGTTTCTTAGTATATAAATATTAGTTCATTTCCTTTAAAATACGTCGTTGCAACTCTACCATCTACTTGTTAATTTGTATACATTGTGTTTTTTAGATTAAATGGTTTTATTTTTTTAATGTACCTACTGTTAATCATCATAACGGTTACACTTTCGTAACCTTGACAATCGAATTGAAAACATTCTGAATATTAGCAGTATAGTCTGCACGAGACTGCAAAACGTACGCCACTGGTAGTAGGTGTATTTGTCTGTCTGTACGTAGGTAGACAGACCTCCGCGCGGAAATGTTGATTTGCCTCGTAAATGGTTCGATTAGTCTGAACGGCAGGTAGCTATTAAAATTAACAGCTCCCCATAACTAGTTAGTTGCCTGAATATTTGTAAAATGTTGAGGTATGTATGAGGTACGCAAGCTTAAAATTCATGCAAAATCTGAAAGGGGGAGTCCCCTTCATAAACGGTTGTATGTAAGCGACCATTGTCCTTTGTGATAATTGTTAACATTTCGTACAAACTTTGAAACCCTCCATTGTTTGATGTTGCCCCTTTTTCTTTGCAACTATGTCGCATGTGTAATTTAGTAAATAGTTTCATCGTACGTTTTTGGGAGGTTATTCCAAGAACTTCGTTTTAACGGTTTGTCAGTAAAATGCTGTTATAAAAAGTTTTAATAGAAAATAGGTACATTCCCAAAAACCGACAGCGTCCCGCATGAGGTTTTATACTGCGAAAGCTTTTGTTTGGATTAAAACATACGCACTAATAGGACTGCACGTTTGTTGGCACGTGAGCAAACATGGAACCGATTATACCTATGTATGGCCACGTATTATAGGGATCTTTAAACAGTCGCATCAAAATGAAAAATAGCTTTAGCATTCAGCATCGTTATGCACTACTGCTAGGAATCTGTAAATACTTGTATTCTAAGAATGAATTTAAAGTTACAAGTTAAGTTAAATTTAGATACTAACTAAGTTAATTACGTTTACAGCATGGTATGGGCATCCCATCTGTGGGTATTCTGCTGCACGAGGTTATTAAGCTGATGTACCACGCGAAGGTACGCGATCCTGTGTTCTTCAGGATCGGTACGTGCGGTGGTATCGGCTACGAGGGCGGCACTGTTGTTATCTCTGACGAGGCCGTTGATGGTGCACTCAGGAATGTTCTAGAATTGGTAAGCCTCACCTATAATTGCAAATTTTAAGTGTTAAGATTGGCTAACCTAAACTTATAAACTCTAGTTGTTTTTTAGTAATATTTTGGGAGTTTAATATTTCCTATTGTAGTATTAAATCGCAACTAGTTTTACTCACAACAGTTCTAATGGCTATATTAAAAAGCGATGCGAAATACGTACTTCAAATTTGAAATAATGTGAAGTTGGTTGGCAGGCCACAACTGTGCGCTTCTCTCGTAGCTTTCTGCCTCAAACTGTGTAATGATCTATCGTCGGCGGTACTTCGGAACCAATACGACCTTCAAGAAAAGAGCGTACCTATTACTTTTTAAAAGGCCGGCAACGCACTTGTGACTCCTCTGGTGTTGCAGGTGTCTATGGGAGGCGCTGATCGCTTATCATCAGGTGATCCGTCTGCTCGTTTGCCTTCTATTCAATAAAAAAGATACCTTGCTATATAATTTTCAGACGGTTTTGGGTAAGAACATCCAAAGACCTGCGAAATTGGACAAGAGGTTGGCGCGTGAACTGAAGGGGCTGGCTGATCCCGAGGATCCATATGATACCGTCACCGGAAAGACTATGTGCACATACGACTTTTATGAAGGTGCGTCTACACTCTACATATAAACTATACTAATTCAAACTGCAGTACACGCTCCTCGTATTTCCAAGAGATCGATAATTTTACGGATATTTATAGAAGTGCTGATCCACTCAGAATTTAGTTTGATAGTGACATGTTGATAATCCGGTTAGGTCGAAAGATA